ATGATTTTTAAGAATCTGTCAAGTGAAAAAATATTACCTAGTGTGAATTGATAAAATTTTTTATCAGTCCTGACATTGCCAAGTATCCACATTTCCAGATGTTTTGTTTTCTCTTCAGTGGCAAAACACAATGGTCTGTGGCCCTTTAAAACTCTAGGGAGCAAGCTGCTGCCCCTTTTCTTGCATAGGAGTGCTCTGCAGTCACCTGGACAGTGATCCACTGTGGGTCTCCTGTGCTCCAGACACTCTTTGATACAGGATCTCAGCTAGTCTTTCAAACTCCTGGGAAGTAGCAATCACTGCCTACACAGTAAGATGAGGAGATGGAAGCATGACATGATTAAATGACCACTCAGGTCATGCAGCCAGTACAGTCAGGGACTGATTCCATACCTGACCTTGAAACCCATCCCTCTCTTCTACATCACATTTCCTTCCTGCAGTAGGCACTTTTGGCAGCCCATCCAGATCCCCTCTCCTGCCAGTGCACCTGCACCCCAACTCTTGTGTCTGTTGGCTGCTCACAGATCATAGCTGACACAAAAGGCCCACCACCTTGCCACAGGCAGGGCAAACTCCATGCAATTCCTGCTCCAGAGCCCTGGGAGGGATCAGACTGAGCTGGACTCCAGTAAAAACCAAGTGCATGTTTGCTTCCACTCTTTTTCCCCAGCCCCCGCTTCCTTCCCTTGTTTCCCCCCTTGAGAGCACATCTTCAATAAATCCTGTGCTCAGCTGAAGACTCTGTTTCTGGGCAGTAGGACCTACGATGCTCTCCTTTAAGCTGCCCTAACTCCAGGCCTATTTTCTGGGGCTACTTTTTTCTATTTACAAACCCATTTAAGTAAAGATATTTCATTTTCCCCTCAGTCATCTGTCCTCCATCAACATAATCCCTACAGGAAAAATAATTTCTTACATCTAAGTCCTTTCTTTCTTTCTTTCTTTTTTTTTTTTTTTTGAGGCAGAGTCTCACTTTGTTGTCTGGCCTAGAGTACCATGCTGTCAGCCTAGCTCACAGCAACCTCAAACTCCTGGGCTCAAGTGATCCATCTGCCTCAGCCTCCTGAGTAGCTGGGACTACAGGCATGTGCCACCATGTCCGGCTAATTTTTTCTATATATTTTTAGTTGGCCAATTAATTTCTTTCTATTTTTAGTAGAGACGGGATCTCACTCTTGCTCAGGCTGGTTTCAAACTCCTGACCTTGAGCTATCTGCTCACCTTGGCTTCCCAGAGTGCTAGGATTACAGGTGTGAGCCACTGTGGCCGGCCTCTAAGTCCTTTCAGTTGCAGCATTAACCCACTTTTTTCTTAGAAGAAAAACCAAAGAGCCTTTTATCTCTGACGCTATTAGCAGATTAGGGATAGTTGTCTGGCCGTCTGCCTTTCCTACCTACTAGAGTATAAGCTGGAGGAGGACAGGGCCTCTTTCATTCACTGCTGTACTCCTAGCCTCAACGCAGTGCTATGAGTGAGGGAAGAAGGTGGGAATATGCCAACACAGAGGACAGGCCCTCACCAGTGCAGGGGCTGAGTCCCCTCTCTGATAACACTCTTGCACCTTGTGGCGTGCCAAGTGCTCCCAGTGTGCAGATGCTGGGATTGTCAGATTCTGATGAGCCAGGCAAGGCTCCACAGGGAGTCTATTCCCAGATGCTGCTGCAGCCAGGCTGCCCTGCCCCTTGTTATGGGCATGATGCCATGGCCCGTTATCAAAGCAGCAGTGACATTGCAAGAATCCTTTGATTTTTCCATTAATTGGGTCCTTACCATCTCTGACCCGAGCCTTCCTTCCCAAGCAGTAAAACAAAATTTTGATCATGACCTAACTACATTGATTTGACAATTCAGAGTGTAAAAATGATTGAGTTGATCCTGAAACCTCCAGGCTTCTCCAGGCATTTCCCCTTCCGCACATCACTGTTGTCAGCCCACTTTGTATCTCAGATCAGAGGGGCTTGTTACTGAAGTTCCTCTTGAAATCATACGTCAGCCCTGGGATGGGCCAGCAGTGTTCTTCCCCTTATAATTTTTGCAGAGAAGAATACCTGCAACTCAATTTCACTTCTATTTCCCTGTCTCCAGCCAACCTGGACATGTCTAGGAATTCATAGTGATTTTTGGATGGAGAGTATCTCTACTAGGATGGGCTTGTAATGTTCAATTAAATATGCATTTACTGAAAAGGTACAGACAAGCACCAGGACCATGATGACTGCTTTTGTACCATTTGTTGGAAATTATCAAGCAGATATCCATCATGTTAAACAATAACTTCTTTGCTGCCATCTCATTACACATTAGAATTCTCCATTTCTTTGAAGTATGGTTGCAAAGCCCCATCTCTTAGTAATATACGCATAGGCAAAGGATTATTTACAGTGGAACATCCTTTACCGTGTACCATGAACTGATTCTTGGACAGAATAGGGAGGGGCTCAGACCACTATGGAAAAGTAAGCACACAAGTTTACCTGCAGAGAGATAATACATTGGACAGGTGTAAGATAGAGTGTAATTATGCAGACCCATTTGAAGGTTGAACAAAAGCAATCCTGGAAAAGCTACTAATGCCATTTACTGAGGTATCCACATGGGCTGTAAGTATTTAATGCAGAATTAAGAATATTAGACTGTTTTCTCATCAAGGGAGGATTTATAGCTTAAGCAAACAGTCTAGTTCTTCTGCTTTTGAGAAAAGTGGTTGAGTTTCCTTCCCTAGAGATGTTAAAGAAGAGGCAGACAAGCAGGCTGCCAAGTGCCAAACCCTGAGTGAGAAATGAGGAGGAGGAGTTAGGCATTGGTCTTCTGTCCTCAATCTTGTCTTTTTAGCAAGAACTTGAATGAAGCCACAGAGGGTATGTTTATCCAATAATGCTGGGAGATACAGCTAACACACTGGACAAAGATAATTTATATTCAATATATGCTCAAACATTGAGATGGAACTAAATAAGAGAAAAATCTAATAGATGTAAACTAGTCCTACACTCAGGTTACTAAATCACCTGCCCAAATAAGAGCAGTCTGTATGAATATAGCATTGAAGGAAATAAAAAGAAACCAAATGAGGGCAGTCTATGACAAAAGGCATGGGGATTTTATCAGCCAACATTGAACACACATACTAAATATGGCGTACCATCTCAGGGAGGATACTGTATACTCAGGACTTTTTACTTTTATTAGACATGGGGTCTGGCTATATTGCCCAGGCTGGAGTACAGTGGCTATTCACAGGCACGATCACGGTGCATTGCAACCTCAAACTCCTGGCCTCAAGCGATCCTCCTGCCTCAGCTTCCTGAGTAGCTGGGATTATAGGCTAACACTACCTCACCTGGCTTACACAAGAATTTTTAAAGATCCTCACAGTCTGCTAAATAATTGTACGCCCTTATTCACAGTATCTAAACTTTTGCTTCCTCTCTAGTAAGGATGGGAATTAACCTTTACTGAATGTCTAACAGTTACCAGGTAAATACATTTTACTTAATTTTCCCAGTGACTCAGTAAGATTGGCATTATTACCTTTACAGGGAACGAAGGTGCGATAACCTATGCAGTGTGGCACAGAGAGTAAGTGTCAGAGCTGGGATTTGAACCCAGGTGTATCCAACTCTTTCCACCACATCACAGCATACAAAGCACGCGTAAAGTGATTAGAGGGGTACCTTGGGGCCCCACAGCTTCTCAAGCCCCTCTCTCATGGCCCTTTAATGGTTACTCTTCCCTCATCTACTCACACTGTTACTGTCATTCCTCTTGTATTACAAGAGGAAGCCTGGGGCACTTTCCCAGAAATACATTGTTAGAGAACCCTGACTTCTGTGAGATGTCTCTGCCTCACCTCCCCACAGCTGCCCTTGTTGACCCTTCTGCCAAATATGAGTCAGTTTACCCGAGTCAGTCCACTCTGTTATCTCTCTCCTTTCCATGGTCTGTTCACCGGACCACATGGAAACCAGGCTTCCCTAGCCTTCTAGTACAGGTAGCGGGAATCTAATCCTGCTGATAACATCTACAAATCCAAAGACAGAACGAATGATTTCACTGATGAGGGAATGTGCAGGTTGCAGAGGACACATGGCTGCCCTATTAACACTGCTTTGTGTTAGAAGAGTAAGAATATTTAAATTACAGTGCATAGTTATAGACCTACCCTCTATTTTATGAAAGTGTGACTATTTCTAAGTAACTTTTGTGGTTTCGTGTACAGAACATAGAATCTCTCATTATCTCCCGATCTTCTGCCCATGTCCCCTAAGGCCAGATAAAGTAGTTAGGTGCTAATGTTCTCAAAAGGCCAGGTTCTCCAGCTTAATAAAGCTTTATGTTCAGAGGTAAGGACACATCTAAGCTCCTTTAGCATATTTGAAAACATGATGTTTATATGTCTGGTTGCTTTCAGACCACTGGTTTTTGCTGTCTCTTAATCCTGGAGTTCCCTGAGACCAGTCACTATGTCCCCTCTGTTCATTCACTCCACAGGTATCTCCTGAGCCTCTACCTATGCTGCATGTCAGGAGTACCATAGTGAAACAGACAGACACGGCCCCTGCCCTCCTCAGGGCTCAATGACCTGGCTATAGAGACAGACATGAAACAAAGAATCACACAAATAGGGTTTCACACTCAACAAATAGTCCACATCTCTCTACAGTATCTAGCACAGAGCTCAGCACATGGTGGGCACTTTTACGTGCACATATGGGTGCTATTTTTGTGGAATATGCAGAAAGACTGGCCAGCTGAGTTAGTCTTATCATTCAGAGTTCAAGGCTTTGACTCTTAGAGAGAGGAATACATGACAGGAAGTCAGGAGATCTGAGCTCTAGTTTCTGCTTTTCTACTAACTAGTAGAATTTTCTTAGGTGAGACACTTAGTCTCTCTGAGCCTCAGTTTCCTTACTGGTAGAATAAAATATAAGTACCAGCGCCCCTCATTAATAATGAAATGGCTACTGTCAGAGGCCTTCTATTCTAGCCTCACGTACCTTGGCAGAAAGACAAGGGATAGCTGTAGCCGAAGTCTTCCTAAGACGAATGGCTCTAGCAGAGTGGTCTGTGTCAGAGTCAGGGCTTCTGGGAAGATGGATTAGCAGCTGGAAGGGATGAACTCCTCGGACCATGACACTAACAGTCTGCGTTTGAACATGGGAAACATTGTACTTGACTTACCACCCACTGACTGTTTAAAAAGGAACACTTTTTCATAGAGTATTCTAGGCTCTATTTCTAGACAACATATCAGAGGAGACAGGAAAGTACAGATATAGTTTTCTTTGTATGTTTTTACAAGTGAAAGAAAACTAATTTTCCATCTACTCTGATAGTCAGTCAAAAATGGCTTAAAAACTGGAAGGCAGTTGTCAGAATTACCCTGAATGTCCTTGAACACTAACCTAAAACATAATTAGGGGGATTTGGCATCATGGTTTCAGCAGGTTTGGGGTACAGCCTCTACACTAAGGTGTCAGTGACTTTTTTCTCAAGTAATAAAAAAATTAGGAAAAATCCTAATGAATGCAGATTAGTTTTTAAACATCCTCATAACTTCAAAAACGAAAATGAAGCAATGGCACAGCCTGTTGCTCAAGGCTGAAGGAGCAGGCCAAAACACTAGGTCTGGATAAACTAGTGTCAAATAGTCTTTGGAAATCCATAACTTCATTAATAAAATCACTAATGTGCACCAAAAGGTCATCTCATACTCTTTGGACCGTGGGGTAAACAGATGAGAGTAGGCTCAGACATGGACCCTTTCTTCCCCTGTTGCAAATTCCGACGGCTGCCTTCCTCACCTAGCTTGGGCGAGTACACAGAGTCTTCACTGCAGTCTTTTCTTTTGCTCCCCATCAGAGCTCCTAATTTTTGCTCACTTGCTCCAAGATGTAAGACAGCAAGTGACTAGGCTTTCTCACAAGGCTACTACAACCTCCACATGCCATTTCCTGGTCCTCCTGTCCCTCAGACTCAGCCCAAATAATCTGGCCAGAGGAAAGCATCACTTCCACTAGAGTCCCTGTGGATAAAAGGCCCCTACTAAGCAGCATCTCTGTGGCCATTTCCCAAACCACTGTTCTTGGTCTAACTTTGAGATGAACCCCATACCAATCACTATGAATTTAAGCCAATCACCGCCACTAAGGTCTTAGGAAACTATCCCAACCTCAGCCTCCCTGAGATCTGTCCTCCCAGAAGGCAGAGCAGCCCGAGCAGCCGGGTGGGACATCTCAGAAAGAAGAAACCTAGACTCTCTCACTACTTGCCTTTCTCCTCAGACAAGACCTCGGTGCTGGGACATGCCTCCTCCAGCCCTGTTCTTTCCCCTCCGACTGGCACAAAGAGACCACTAGCTCCTGAAGTGAAGCTCCATCGTGGGAGACATTCCTCAGGGGGAACCTCTCCAGGGTGGTGAAACAAGAAGTCTTGGGGGAAAGAAGCTTGGGACTCTGTCCTACCTTGTCACTGTCCACTGTGTTCTGGGAGGTCCTAGAGGCAATGGAGATGGTGTCCGGCTGGCTGCTGCCATCCCCCTGGCTGTCAATGTCTTCCACTCCATCCCTGTAGGAAGAAGAGAAAAAAAAACAGGGGTGGGGGTAGGGGGAACCGCTGTGGGTTTAGAGCACACAAGGATTTCCAGCTGGGTTGGCACACAGGGCCTCGGCACTTTCTCACAGGGATTCATCTCAAATTATCCTGCCAAAGGGAGCAGCCCTCTATGATTTTCAATGATGTCACTTCTTGCACTTAGTAAACACATAGTCACTATGTTAGTAACGAAATGCACCCCTTTCCCATAACTCCTCTAGCCCATGCTGCAGAGGGGGCAATTTCCCCCTACCCTCCCCCACTGGGAATGGGTTTATAACAGGCAGTAGGAAGATGTGTATGCTACTTAGAACCTAGGCTTCTATCCAGCTGACTGGGTCATTCCAACAATCCCAGAGTTCAGGGTACTCAAGTTTCTGTATATGCTGTAACTAGATCAGGGCTGGTTTACAGCTGGTTTATACATAAAACAGAACTGATATTCTTTTAAGTTGTATTTCTTCTGCTCAGGAAAATGGGGGTGGGTAGAATATTTTCTCCAGAGGAGATGATCATTGGGATGTCCCTGATGTTGGACCCTCCATCCATGGGTATGGAGGAGGAATTTGTTGCCTTCATTTTGGTGGGTCCTGATGATATCATGCATATTTATGATGATTTCTTATCAACACAGAAGGCCAAGGCATTTTTTAAAGACTGGAGAACCGTCACAGATTCCACAGCAGCATTTCAGCCAGCTGTGCTCCTGAGTGTCTGCTAAGGGAATCTCTTGAGGGCACTCCTGGCATTTAGACCCCATTCCTGAGCCCCTGGACCACACAGCTGTCCTATACACGTTATTTCAACTCTCCCACTTTAGAACTCTGCTCCCATCCTGCACTGAACCCATAGCCAGGGCGAAGAGGGACTGGATGTCTGCACACTGATGAAGGCTGCATGGTCCGTGTCAAGAAGAACTGTGGGAGATGTGGGGCCAGGGTTGGCCAAATTAGCACAGGAAATGACAGCTCTTCCCATGGATGCTTTTATGAAAGTTATACCCCTGATGCTGTGTGGGCAGAAGTAATGGCATCAGGGCACAGGGGAGCGCAAAGCCTGAGAATTTTACCAAATGGACAAAGTGCCATAAATAATGAATCCACCTCACAGAGTCTAAAAAATTACAATCCGGTGCATGTGTGAGTGCGTGTGGCTGTGCGTGTGCATGCAGGTACCCATGCATGTGCATATGTCACATGTAGTGTCTACTCATCATAAAAAGTATTTTCTCCCACCCAGAACACTTCTAAGTCAACTGCTGTCTCACCACCACTTGGAAAATGCCAACTTATTTTAATAACAGAAGCCACACATTTGTAGGAAGGAAAAGCTGCTGTAAAAAGAACTTATGTGATGAATTTCAAAACCAAAAATAAAGGACTTTTAGATCATCTGTTGTTTTGGATGACTTGGGCCAGTGCTCCTCACCATTTGTAGACAATGGAGAGTTGGCTGTACTTCCTGCTTCCTGCTATTCTGGCCCACTGTGGTCCTTCTAGTCCACTCTAGATGAAGCCAGTTCTTGCGCATGTAGGGAGCCCACCCGGGGGTGTGGACGGTATTCCCCAAGCCAATACGCTCCTCTGTAAACTATGTCCCTACATCTAGGGAGCCAAGCTAATGGAGTTACAGATTGCCTGGGTATTCTCTGTGGAGTCTACCAAGATTTCTCACCCTCCCATCACAGGACAAGAGAAAATGGCAGGACAGGGGGCAAAGAAAAAGTCAGAGTGTTTCCAAGATATGCCCTTCCCATCTTCTAGAAATGTTCAAACTCTTCTACTCTAGGGAAAGGGGCTATTTCACAGAGTAACCTCACCAACCCCACCTAAGCACCCTCCCTCACCACAGCACCGGACCATCTGTCCCTGATAATTGTTTCCTTTCCATCTTCTTTCTTAAAGGAGGGGCTCCTGGAGCAGAGCCTGTCTTTGGTGGAAAACCAAGCCTACGCCTTTCCTGGATTCTGGACATAGGCACCCGAAATCACAATGACCCTCCCCCAGCACAGCTGTGATTGCCTTCTGGCCCTGAGGAGGTGACCTTATCCTGGCCATGCAGGTCATGGGGCTTCTGCCTGCCATGGAGGTGTCTCTCCCTAAGCCACTCCCTTCTTTTGGCTACCGCCTTGTTCAGAACTGAAGCGGCTCCCCACCTGCTTGTCCTGGTTGGTGCTTGAGGGACAGCTAAGTCCTCTGGACTTACTCCACTTACAAATAGGGGAGAAGAAAAGAACCTGTTACCACCAATGACTGTCACCCCTAGAGCTTTGTTTTTGCTGTATTTGTTTTCCAAAATTTATGTGATATTTTTGTATGTTTTCTTTAGAAGTGCCCTCCAAAAGAGTCACTGTAGTGTCACATAGAGACTTGAGAAAAAATTATTAAGAAGTCACCCACTGATTTAGAGGAAACTGGGAATCAGAAGCATCCAGAGAGGTACAAGAAGTAAGTCCTCTTCTGCCTGATAACATTGCTCATCTCAGGTGAGTGGAGGCGAGGACTTGGGGTGGGGATGGTTGCAGTAAGAGCTGCAATGACAACAAACCAGACCACCCCGCACATCACAGTGCACAAAGTCCCTTGCTGGGGTGCCAGTCCTGAGGGCTCACCAACGCCGCTCATCACCTTCCAAACTCCCCCAGATGCTCCACTCCAGGGCTTGTCTAAAGTCCCCTTTCTTTGAATTCTTACGTTACTAGCGTTTAGTATCCCTATGGATGGTACTAGCTCTTCCTGTCTGACTATTCCATGTGTGAGACATGACTGCCAGATGGGTCTCGAGGGGAATCGCCTCATCTTACACTTCCTTTTATCTTCCTGCAGCCTCTAGCAGAGTGTTTATCAAATAAGAATGTTTATCAATGAAGCTCTGCTGAATGTAACTGACAGTAACTGGTGAGATGCTTAAAGAGGCGATAACTCATGGGCCTCCCAGGGAGTGCCATCTGCAGGGCACACCATCCCTTCAGAGACACAGGTTTACCCACTCCTGCTACTGGAAGATTGTGAGGCAGGAAGAGCAGGAGGGAGAGACGCTGGTTACCTCTTACTATTGTTCCTCTGTTTGGCTGGTGTTTTGGGGAGCTGAATTGGCTCCTTTAAAGCTCCTTTCAGGTGAATGATCCTTTCCTGAATCACTTCTCGAATGTTCTTGATCCACTCCTGCTTGGTTTCGATGTTGGAGGCCTGGAGTGCCACAGGGAGAAAGATTGAGAACCCCGATTCCCTTCACCCTGCCAAAACAGCTCAACCCTCCTCTTGTAGGTTTCCATCTGGCATTTTCAAGGATTGCAAATGTTTGGGGAGTTTCTCACTTCATACTTGTAACTCTTTTGATCCCATGGATGGGCTTCTCCAACTCCTACAACAGGGCTCTGACCTCTGACCTCAAGACTAAATGGAGACGTGTACAAAAGTGACTGTGAAAGTATTTCGTGACCCATACAGCACTGACCAATCTGCCCTGGAGCTGGAGCAGTATCTGGAGGCCCTCACGGGGCCAGGGATTCACACTTGAGCTGCTCGAATCTGGGGAGGTCTAGGGGGCTCTGGGAGGGCAGCCAGGGGGCATTTGAAGGCAGCATCTGTTTACCAACCAGTCTGGATATATGTCAGGATGTCCAACACATGCCCGGCCACACAGGCTTGTACTGACTGCAAGTCAGTCCGGGTTTTTAGTGTGCTAAATCTTGTTAGTTGAAGGCATTACTATCACTTCCTGAATATCCCATTTGTCTTCATGGAAGTTTTTTGTGGTAATTCTGCCTCATGACAGGTAGCAGCTATGCTGGCAATTCAAAGTGAATAAGTGTGAAGCTTTTGTGGGGGTTGAGCCATCTTTTCCTTGGTGATGGGCATGTACCTGACAAAAAGTGACTGGTGGGAGCTCCATGACCACATGGTGTTTAGGAAGACATGTTGAGTGAATGGAGCAAATCAGGGTGCCTTTTGTCAAAGGGTCGTGTAGTTCTTGCCCCTTGAAGGGGACATATGAACAGAACACAGTCCAAGTGGGCCTTGTGGGGAGGCCCAGCAGGTCACTCCCTGCTCTCTTACCTCTGTGCTCACACAAGTGCATGGACTTGAGGATGCCATTTCTCTCTGAAATTCCAGGTGTGCCTTCATGGTACAATTTGCTTCTCAATACCCATCTGATGCTGCCATTCCCAAGAGAGGCCCAGTGGCTCAGTGGGGTCTGTGGGCACTAGTTTTTAGGTGTCACATGCCCACATCTCTCTGCCCCCCTTCTGCTACCCCCAGCCCTGGTCTTGTGCCCGGCAGAGAGCAGTACTTACTTTCAGCACTGTTTTATTGTCTGAGGATGGGGTGCGCCCAGACCACAAGGCGAATTTGCAGGGGTCGCCCTCCACGTGCTCGGTCACACCCAGCTCTGAGGTCTGTAGACAGGAAATGCCTGTGAGAGGCGGGGAAGGGGAGGGCAGTGGGGAAACTTAGGGCTGGGTGGGAAGGGAAAGGCGACAAAGAGGAGAGGACCGAGGGAGGGGCTTCTGTCAATCAAACTTAAACAGACTGGATATTTTGTTCATCTACCCAGGATGGAAGGCCCTACAGGCATGTGCCTGATTAGCAGGTACCAGGGAGGGAAGGTGAAGAGGGAGGTGCTAAAAGCAAACAGAAAGAAGAACTGTGAACTCTAAAATGCAGAAGTGGGAGGTGAGAGTGGGAGCTTTCCCAATAGGAGACATTGTCATTTGTCCAGGATGGTTGTGGTGTGGAGGCGGGGGAAGAGATGAGATGAGTGTGTCGGCGTCCCTTCCTGCCCGAGGGTTCTATGAAAGCAGGCAGTCGTGCCTTACCCCACCTGCCCCACCTACCAGTAGCTTGTTCTTGTAAACATATTTTGTGTGTCCTGAAGAGTCTTTGATCTCCTTGCTAAACACCAAGGAGATCTCAAAGAGGAACAAGTGTCGCTCCCGCCCCTTCCGGATCAGTGACTTGGGATCCCACACTTGAAAGGCATCCTGGAGAATCAGTTCCCCCTGCACGTCCAAGTTCTCGTCGAACCCTGAAAAATACCCATTTCCATCCTGTGGAGCTTCTCTATTGCCATATTCAGGGTCCACTCCCCTCTTGGAGAAAGGCTGTCCTATTTGTTAGCCCTCAGTTCCCGCAGGGTTTTCTCTCTCTGCAGACTCCAGAGACTCCTGAACACAGACATCTCTATAGAATTCCTGCAACATGTCTTTTATATACATAACCAATATGCATATAACTCCCCACGCCACCCCATGGCCAGCCTGGGGCCTCCTGCAAGCACAGTCCCATGGCTCCTTCCTCCACAGCCCCCTCTGTTCCCCACTCAGAGCTCCAAGTGGAGCTGAGGACAAGCACTGCCTGATCGAGTGTCTTTGGTTCCACTCCATTTGTTGGTGCCTCATTTCTTGTGTTCTAGTCCCAGGATTCTTCCCTTGATTGCTCCACACAAGCCTTCTGTAGTTTATATTTATACCACTTTAAGTCTTTCAGAGAGGGTCTCAAACTTCAGTGTGTGTAAGAATCACCTGGAGAGCTTGTGAAACCAGATCACTACCCAGCCCCACCTCCCAGGAGATTCTGATTCAGGAGGTGTGGGGTGGAGATGGTGAACTGGCACTTTTGAAAAGCTCCCAGGTGCTGCTGCTGCTGGTCCATGGACCACAGTGGAGTAGCTGGATCCAGAATACAGGTCAGGGACAGGCTGGAGAAGCAGGGTACTTGGGAGGAGGACACTCACGGTGGGGTGGGGAGGGGAAGGTGCAAACAGAGAAGAAAGGGGTGGAGAAAATGCAACAACAGAAATACATTCAGATAGTTCCTGCTCAGTTGAGGGAAGATAACCAGGGCTCCTTCGCTCTAAGAATTAAGGCCCCTTGTGCTAAGGAGAGTCCAGGAAGTACTGAGACCAGACCAAGTCTCTTAGATGGTGGTGGTGGTAATGGTGGGTGGGATGGAGCCCAGAAGAGAAAACACAGCCCCTGTGCTTACATGTTTGCAACAGACTACACTTATTTCCTTTTGCACCTCTATGCCAGCCCAGTCTGGAATGTTCAGTCTTAACTCGTCTAACAAATTCCACCCCAGTATGGCTGCTCTACTGTCCGTTTTGCAGCACTAAGACCATTTTATTGGAACTTTACAAGTTTCTGGTCCCAAGAATATAGCTCTGGCTAACTGAAGTCCTCTCAGGGTTATCTGGCTGGACTTTTCTTAACCTGCTAGGAAGGACAAAAGCCTGGTTGTACAAGAATGTGAATGTACTGAATGCCACTGAACATAATAAAAATGTTAAAATGGTAAATATATGTTATACATGTTTTGTATATTTTACCAAAATAATAACGAAAGAAGGGCATAAGGCTGGAGATGGTGTCATATGTGTGTGTGTGTGTAACCAGGACTTCCACTTATTTTGATGACAGAGACAATGCAAACGCTATGCAGATTAACAAAACTGCTGTGGGTTGGGGGCTTTAGCACACTGATAGGAAGGATGATGGACCGTCCTGGACTGCAGCGTGGCCAACAAGGTGTCCATACACCTTCCATGGCTTAGGCCTGGTCCCACCTGGAGGCAGGGTGCTAGCCAGGTTGGTCCCTATGGAGACTCACATGCCAAGGGCCTACATATCTACTTGCCATTTCTCCTCTCTCCCAGCCTTGCCCCTTGCCTGACTGCATGCCATTTCCCTACCACGACACAAGCTTCCTGGTCGTAGGGACAGAGGAGGCTTCCCCAGAGCTGGGAGGATAGCTACCTTCCAGCATGCTGACATGCATGGCATCATTGGCTTTCTTTGGGACACTGAGCATCACCTCCAGGCCATCCTTGAGCTCTCCTTTCCCTTCTTCACAGCACGTTAAAAGTTCCTGGGGAGAAAAGTCCATACACAATTAGGATCATTTCCCCCAGCTTCCCAACCCTCCCACCACCTGACCCATCAAGGAAATTATAGACCAGCTTCACTCTCTGTAATGGTTCCCTCTAAGCTGTAAGGAAAGTAGGGTGGGGTCAGGGGTTATCTCCAAAGAGTTTGACCACATTTTCTCCCAGACTGAGCTTCCTCAGCACAATCTAGTCCAAATGAACTCAATCCAACCCAATCCCAAATGACTGGAATTGTAAGTCAGCAACCGGGGTACTCTGTCGCTGGACTGCCCTCTTAGAGGAGGGAATATTCCAGCAAAGCACACAGAGGTGCATACTGTGGCATCACAATGAAGAGAACAAAGAAAAGCAGAGAGAGAAGATAAAAGGTGTGCTACAGAACACAGCACTCATACCCCTGTACACCTCCTGCTGACGCTACTGTTATTTATGCTGATGTCCACCCTACTGGGAGCAACCTGAGGTTAGAGACATTATATGTTTATGACATTTTGGAGTAATAAAAGACTTTTAGATCATATGGACCAGGAGTTCCCAGCCTGGGGCCAATAGGTGGGATTCTAGCCCATTTCATTGTCAGATGAGGAAACTGATTAACAGGGATGAAGTGATTTCCCCAGGTTCTGTAACTCCATGAGGCCACGCAGGGGCTTGAACCCAGGTCTCCCGAATCCACGTCCAGCACTCCATCCACCACTCCAGCCCTGTCTCCCCCATACGCTGTACCACACTGAAACCTCCAGGAGTAGACCCTTTTTCTTTTACTTCCTGGGGAGGTGGGGAGCAGGCACTTTCTCTTTTACTTCCTCATTGGAGACTTAGTCATCACCATCCTTATAAAAGATATATAATAACTGGCTGATGGAGAAAAGATCACTTCCAACTATCTTGAGAATCACGAGACCATTTGGAATGATTTTTCTGTCCAAACCAGAAGAATGGTGGCTTTTCACTTTTCCTATCAGGGCTACTGTATCTTGCTCACTTTGAACCTGGGAAGGAAACAGTTAAGCGACAGATCTGTGATCCATACTGTCTCCCTGAGGGGGCAAGGGATGGGCAGTTGAGTGGGAGTACACTTCCAAGAAAGAAAGAAATTCAAGAAATTCACCAGATCAAATTTTATAAACATGTTAATGACAGAACTCCTGACAAATAAACTAATGGTACTTGCTAGCAGGAGAGATTTATCTATGAAATGCTTTTAAAAGGATATATCTGGTCTGTCTAGGATTCTTGCAGTAAACAAACCTGGAATCTGTGGCTCTCTGGAAAGTGTCCCATAAGCTGTGCAACTATCTAAGAAAACAGTGAGTACATTTCATGGCCAAAATGGCTCTTTTCAGGGTGATATAATGAGACATACGTCATTTAGAGACCCTGTGTAATAATCTGGGCTATAGTACATCCTGATGCTGCAAGAAATAACTTAGATTCGCTTTGATGGTCCTGGACCTTTCTCTATGTCACTTCTGCCTTGGGATTATTTGTAGCCTCTAACTTATTAGTAAAGCTTTATACTTGGTAAGATATCTAATTAGCAAGAGTCTGACATAAAAATTTAATCCTTGATGTTATCTTGAATACATTCCCATATGAATAAGGGAGCTGTGAGTGTCCAACGAAGAGATGAACCACATGTTTGGGGGGTGGAAGTGATCAGTTCTCAGTTCCATCCTGGCTTCCAGTCAGTATAATGTCATCATTGTTCAGTATTTACTTCTGCCAGCCTGAAGTTCTCTGATTTTCCTTCCCTTTCCTAATTTTAACCTTCCCAACCTTGTTCTTATACATCATCAAAGGAACTTCTGAGGCAGAACATAAGAAAGAAAACAAGAAATATGCTTCAGTTTGCAACAGAACACATGAATTAGTTTAATCCCCCAAAGCAATTTAGCAAGTCTACCAATCTACCAGGAGAGTCAATAAATTCTCCTTGGATCCTTGTTATAGTTTATGATAAGCAGAAAACTCCACATTTAATTTAGAGTCCTTTTGTAAAGCTGTAGCAGATTTACATGAAGAATATTGAGCATTCTAATGGACAGAGTTTCTATTTTCATGCAACACCTAAAGTGCTAAACCCCAGAGGATACTGATAGTTAAATATCAATTTATTTGAAATAAAAGTGACTTTAAGAAAATAAATTCCATATTATTTATAGTAAAAGCTCAGCACACTATTTTTCTAAGCAGGCACTCTGCCACTAGCACCTTTAAAAGAGGCCAAAATTATCTTCCCCTTTTTAAAAAAATAATTTCATAGCTTCCCCACAATTAAATTCCCACTACTTCTTTTTTCCACCTCTCAGCTACCTGCATGGGCATCTCTTCCTAAAAGCACCCAACGCCGGAACACAGGCCCAGAGCCCACCTCTCCATCTGCCTAAAGCAAAACACATTCTCCCTTCCCCACCCTATCCATGTCACATAATTAACCTCAGGGAGCTTCAGCCTTACAAGATTAAAAGGGAGAGGTGAAAAGCTATATTTTTCTTAGAACTGCAACTTAATTAAGACACTGGTGTGTGGATGGCTTAGTCTGTATTGAGTTTTTTCTTTTTTTTAAATTCACAACCCCATCAATACCTTCAAAGGCTTTGGGATACATAAATTAAAAATCACAAAAATCAATTTTAGAAAGTCTGTTAGCATAAGAAATAATTTAGAAGGGTCAAGCATTAAATGCAATAGAGAAGAGAAAATGATTATACACTGAAATCTGGGCTAAGGAGAATCTACTATAAGTAACCACAAAATTCAATGCTAACTTTCTAATATTCAAAGGCAAAGAAGCACCCAGGCGTCTGTGGCTTAAAGGTAGAAAACGTGCCAATTTTTTAGGAGAGAGGTCTTCCCACTCCCCCTACCCTGGACTCTTATGAGAATGTCTACGTCTTTATATAGGAAACTTCAAAAAACAAACAAGCAAAAGTAGTCTGCTCAAATAGCTGAGATGTCTGCACATTGTCATTTCTCACACCCGCCCTCAATAAAGGCCGAGGGTGTGATGCCCAGTTATAATTCTCTAAGCTTTTCTGTGGGTAGGATGACTTGAGTCCTGGAAGAAGCAGCCAGCAATCTCTTGGAGATGAGGAAGGAGAAGGTTTGCAGGAAGGAGGCTGAAGAGAAATGATGCCGTGTGGCTCTGCCCTGACCCAGAGGAGAGAAGAGATGACCAGGGCACAGGCTGCTGCACCCCCACCTCACAGTTGCCCCTACAACTCTCATCACAGAACCACAGGTGCTATGCCAGGGGCACCCCATGGGCCAGGAATGGGGGGCTCATTCTAGTAGGACTAGAACCCTAGATTTGAAATTTGACTGGTTTTCAGGCTCAGCAAAGCTAGAATATGTAAGATTCTGTAGGCATCTCAAAACATGAGCTGAATTTCATCAGGTTTTCTCTGAAATTACACTATGTACTTATAACATGTTCCCCCCACTATCCCTTTATCCTTTTCATTACAGGAACAACCAGCAAAATATTCCAAATGAGGGAAAACTCCACCCTTACACTTTAGGAATCAACATAGATGGGAGTTATCTAACTGCTTATATCAATTTCTCAGGCGTTCTGGGGAAATGTCATATTTTCAGAGTATTGTATATTCATTCTTATATAAGAAGGTTCAGCCCAAATTACTTAGTGGGTTACATAATTTGGTTATTTAATGTTTAAAGAAGATTTGAAAAAAACTTGTTTAAAATTTTGAAAAAAAATCCAAACCTTCTGGTTGGAAGAAGAACCCCTAACATATGGGATCCTGCAGATACAACAGTACTATGGTATTTTAATGTGTATCCTTGAACTATTTCCCCTCCCAAACCTCGTAGTCTTGACAAACACAGAGATTATGGCAATGGCAGCTGCCACCCTGGCCTCTCCCAATCACACAAACTGGCACTACTGTTAAGACCCTGAGCTTTAATTCCATTCAAAGCAGGTGATACCAGGAGGAAACTACTCCAAGAGGAAGGGACAAGAAATCCTCAAAAAGCCAGCCAGAGCCTATGGTGGCAACTGCTAAAAGTTGTTTAGCGGTGGGTAAATGTGAAAATAGTCACAACTTATTGCTGCTCCCATTTCTCTTCTTTCTGCACCAAACAAGTATCTGGAATTTCATGGATAGGATAGCAGTGTCAGCGTGGGCTCATCTCTGAAGTTCTGCTCTAGGTAGAAGAAAGGTCTTCAGTGAAGCTTTCCTACCCTTGGGAGCAAAGCTGGGCCTCCCTTGCCCTGGCAGCAGTACAGTGGAGGGTGGTATAGAGGGCAAGGAGGGGGTACCTTCAGGAGCAGCTGGTACTTGGTGATCCTCTGGACAGGCTTAATTAGGTAGGAAGAGATGGAGTTGGCCAGACCATGCCGCTGCTGTATCTCCTGGAGGGATGAGAACAAGGTATAATTAGACATGGAAGGGTGTGTGTATGTGTGTGTTCTAGGAGGAGGTAGGCAGCAGCAACAAGAGAGGAGAAAAAAGAAAATGTAGGCAATTATGGGGAAATGTTCTGGGACAGGGAGAAGGGAGTGGAAAGAGAAACAAGAGAGACCAAGATACATACATCTACAGAGAGAGAACAGAGAGGGCAAAGAGGGAGAAGCTTTAGGGAAGGAGGCAGATTTATGAAACAGAAATAGAAATTAAGCGCAAATGGGAGAAAATAAAGGTAGAAAAGAGTGATAAGGTGAATAACAGCCAGAGGGAAAAGTAGAGATGAAGAAATAGGAGTGAAGGAAATAACTTCCGAAATGGGGGAAACAAAAGGTAAGAGGGAAAATGAGAGGGAAGGGGAGGCAGAGGACGAGGCTCTGATTTCTATTCTGACAACTCCTGATGGGTCTTTCTCTGCCCTCAGTCTCTTCAAAATAACACAAGGACATCTCTCTTCTTTAAATTTAACACATCCCAACTTAGGGTCATCACTGTATTTCCTATGAATTTTTCACTGTGACTAATGGCACCTCCTTTATTCTTCAGGTCTCCTGAGCTGGAAACCATGGAATCATTTTTAGTCATTCCCCCCCCCCCTTTTCCCTCCTGGCAAATCTTTCTTGTCCACTTCCATGGACAACCCTCATCTCTCATGTCTCCAACTTCTGACTGCACCTCTAGTCTCCCCATCAAATCCACTCTCTAACCTACCTCCAAAATGACCTTCTATTCCCCATTATCCAGGGGTTGTAAAGGTCACAGAAAGGTACATTTTTGTCCCTGTCCTCAAAAAGCTTACAGTCCAGCTGAGAATACTCAACACACATGAACTAGAGAACAACAAAGGACAATAGAGGGGACGTTACAGCCAATGAGGACTGAAGAGATTACTGCATCTGGACTGGTCAAGGTGGCTAGTAGACATAAGGCCTCACCTGGGGCTTAGAGGCTAGGTAGGGATGGGTTAAGTAGGACGTTGGAGGAATGACACTCTCTAAAGGGAGAAGATCAAACACAAAATACACAGGTTGAAATAGTCATTGTGTGTTTAGATGATAATGAGGATTGTGCCTGAATGGTACAGAAGATACACACCTAGATTCTATAAGAAGCAAAAAATAGAGTTAGATACAAATGATTAGTTAGGTCACTGATGGGGTTGAGTTTGAAAAAAGAATTAAGATTTGATGGTAAGTTTTTCTATGGTAAAGTATTATAGATCTTAAAGAGAAGAAACACATGGTAAAAGTAATGTTTCGGAAAGAGTAATATAATATAGGGGATGGAAATAGAGGCACAGAGGCAAGCTAGGGGATTACTGCAAAAGCTCAGGTGTGCACATGATCCAGCATTCCACTCCTAGGTATATGCTCAAAAGAAATAAAAATATATGTCTATGCATGGAACAACCCAAATGTCTATGAACTGATAAATGGAAAAACAAAAGGTAATATTCACAAACAATGGAATATTACTTGGCCATAAAAAGGAATGAAGTGGTAATGCATGAAACAACATAGATGAACTCTGAAAACATTATGCTAAGTGAAAGAAGCCAGTCACAAAAGATCACATATTATATGATTCCATTGTAATGAAATGTCCAGCCAAGGCAAATCTATAGAGATAGAAAGAAGATCAGTGGTTGCTTAGGGCTGGGGTTTGTGGTGTAAAAGTCAAAGGATGCAGGATTGCTTTTTGAGGTGATGAAAATGCCATAAAATTGACTGTAGGGATGGTTGCACATATCTGTGAGCACACTAAAACCCACTGAATTGTATACTTTAAATGAATGAACTATAGCAGAATTATATCTCAATGAAGCTGTTATTCAAAAATCAAAAGTGCAGATGTGCACTTCTTGCCCTAAGCTAGAATCAGTGAGAATAAAGCATGGTTAAAAATACAAGAAATATTTTAAAGTTAGACTAGATAGGACTTGCAATGAAGGAGAATGAAGGAAAGAGAATAAAAAATTATTCTTTTTCCCACCAACTATCCCAGAAAGTAGTAATTTTCTTACTCATTGCCTCTTCCATAGAAGTATGTAGTTGCAACAAGACTTGTTCAGTGGCGATAGGCAGAACTGCTGGCAGCTTGACTCTTTGGGCAACTGAACCTTGTGAGCTTACTTGGAGGCCTTGGCAAGAGAGCACAGGCAATAATGCACCTTTGACAGTCTTCCCACTCCATCGTGATGCCCAGCTCTGGGAAGGCTGCATGTGGAGCAGCAAGGAAGGGGCTGCCCCGGAGGCTAGATCAGCCAAAACAAGCTTGGACATCATGTCCACGCTGTTCTGCGAGGTCAAAAATTCTGTATCATGTGAATGTGTGGGCCTTTCTGGGACTTTAAGTTTCTGTTTTCTCCTTATGGTAATAGATATTAAGACACTGCCTTTATTAAGGTTTTATCTCTCTTATAGAATGAGGGCCTAAAGCAGATGGTTCCTTAGGGAAAACTTTCTGATGGCATGGAAATAAACTACAAAGATTATTCTTTCTAGAACATTTTGGGAACAATATGGAGAATTTACTGTCCCCCCTCCCCACCTCTAGGCCAGATTTGATGAACTCCTACTGGACTGGTTCTCTGGCTTCCACAGGCCTTCCCAACTAATATGGAGGCTCACAAGGCACTACCCTGCAAATGGGGGTAGAATGGGAAATTTGGAGTATATCTGACTTATCAAAATCTAGAAATTGGCTAGAAACAGGGATGTGAAGCATGGAAAATATAGTTTAGTGCCAGGCACTGCTATGTGTACAAATATGAATCAGGCTTACATACCATTAGGCCTCAAGGGACTGGCAGGTGGAGGGAGGTGTGTGCATCAGAAAGATACATTGTTACCCTGCCAAAAGGCAAATTGTTACAAATGCTTTAACAAAGATATAAAGTATAATTAATGAACACAAAAAGGGAAGGATTCATGTAGGAAGCAGCATTTGACCTTTAAAGGACAGGAGGAATTTTGAAAAGCACGTGTGGTGTGTGTGTCGTGTGGCGGGAACACAATCCATCCTGGGCAGGGAGAATGGTGTGAGCAAGGATAAGGAAGCAAAAGAATCTGAGGCATGCTCAGAACACAGGACAAATGTCAGAAAAATGAAAAAAAGATCCTTCTGGACACTGCTGATGACTAATCAACCAGAAGTAACTTAAGGGGGAAACATTATCAATCAAAAATAATGGTAGTATAAAGCAGCCAGTATGATACCAAATAAATCCTGATATCAGGCTAGAGAAGCACTTTTCTTGAGTTCTTCTGTTTTATTAAATCTAACCCCAGAAATTCCAGTTTGGGACATACATGACCATTTCCATATTAATGCTTCATTTAAAAAAATCATGTACATTTTTTCCTTGTCTGGCTTTCTCCTACTCAAGTCTACTCAAGTGTCATTTCTTTACTGAGCAACCAGAAACTTTAGAAATATTTCTGATATGGCAGTGCCAGGCTAGAAAGATGCTCAGAGAAGGCTTATTTTGTAAACTTGAATAGAGAAACCATGTTTAAACATGTTTGTATTCTCCACGGGACCTAGAACACTATCTTGCATACAGTAGACATCAAACTATTTATGAAAGAAATGAAAACGGGTAGGCATAAAGATAGACTGGTTGCCTTTAAAAGGTTCTGGATTTCAAGTTTGTGTCAGTTCTGATATGACCACTAGAATGGCCATCACTGCTGCAGTCTGTCTCTCACTGTACTTTTTTTCCTAATTTCATCTTTCCCTCTTGTTCATCCCTTGAATCCTGTAGTGACCCATTTAATTCTGCTTTCTGCTTATTTTACAGCCAATAGGTCACCCCTGTTGGGGACTGGCACTAAATAGGTTTATCGTATCATTAACCAACAGGATTGTATCCTCAGTCAAAACCAGAGGGTCTGACAAAGCATATGAGCCCCACTCTTTTCTTGGCTTCCATTACAGCATGAGTGCTCAGTACTGGCTGCATGTCATTCTCACCAGAAACTTTAAAAAATCCCAATGCCCAGGCCACATGCAGGCCAATCACATCAGGATCTCAGGCACAGGACTGAAGCATCAGTATTTTTCAAACTCCTCAGGTGATTCCAATGTGTAGCAAGGTTGAAACACTTGCATTAGAGAAGTGACTCTCAAACTTCAGTGGGCATCAGAGTCACCCAGAGGCCTCCTTAAAACTCAGATTTCTGGGCCCCACACCAGAGATTCTGACCCAATGGATATGAAGTGGGGTCCAAGAATTTGCATTTCTAACAAGTTCTCAGGTGATGCTGCTGCGGCTGGTCTGAGGGTCATGCTTTGGGAACCACTTAAGTGTGTGGGAGCTGTGCACGAAGCAGAAGTGAAACATCTTAATCAACAACTGCACCACAGTGGGCCTCCTCTAAACACGAGGTTTGCAGCTAGCCAGTTTTGGTGTTGAGGCATGGAGACAAATTTGCCCTTGTCCAAAATCACAGTGGCTGAGATGGGATGGGGTAAAATAAAAGATAAACACTGTTTTTGTTTTTCTCCATGCTTTAGCTATAAGATAAAGGTTTGGAGTGGTCAGTAGGACAAAATGAATAAAGGAAAGCTAAATACTCATTATTCCAAAGCAGAGAAGTATTTCCACCTGCTTATCAATTGCTCAAGAACAGAAAACCACAGCTTACATCAAAGAAGGTGCCCGCATGCTCCAGGATAAGCTGGTTGGAATCAGGTTTGTTTTTACAGTAGGTGACATACATCTGAAATTTGTCTGCCTAAAAAGAACAAAGACAAAAATAGTTAAGTATCCATTAGTTGCTCCCTTCTGTCCACTGTGCTGAAGCACCTGACAAAGGCAGTACACTTAAACCTCAGATATCAGTGCCTAGACTTTCTGTAGCAAACGTTCTGTGCTCATTTAGACCCATCGTCCCCTAATGGACATTGGCATGGTTGTCCTCCTATCAGCAGGTAGAGAAAGCTTGCTGAAAGTGAGCTCATTTTAATACTGCTCTGCGCTAGAAAGAATTAGAAAAGGAAATCATATATCATAATGTATTCCGAAATTGGAAAGAATTTATTTAGAGATTATCCCCCTTTTTGGATTATCTACAATTGTGCTCCCCATCTTGAAAAAAGACAGCATTTGCTCTAAATACAAAAAACACAGAATGCAAATAAAATATGATCTCAGAGGTACATCTGCTTGTACTCTACATGTCCCTACTGGGGAGAACTTGTGGGGGCCATGTCAAACAACTATGCCATCATTCCAACTTCCCAGCAGCAATGATGAGAGGGAAAGAAAGCAGAGTGACCACTTAGGGCAGAGTCTGAACAATGATTCCTAACCAGATTGTTACTTCAAGCCAAGAACCTTATAGCTGGTTGAAAATTCATTTCTTACTTCTCTCAAGACTCTCTGGGTTAGTGTTATACACCCTTTACTGGGAAAGGTGTGTGTATTTTAGTCACTAAGTACTTTTCTTATTGGTGATATGCTGCAAATCTCAATGTGTTTGGAAATTTGGGATGATGTCTTCTGAGAGAGCAGCCTAAACATGTGTTCATTACATCAGGTTTCATTTACACGAGCAATGTTCTAATTGCTTTACATATATTAGCTCATTTGGTAATCATGAGACCCTTGCAAAGTGGATTCTATTATCTTCCCCATCTTATAGATGAGAAAACTGTGACACAGATTAATTAAGTGACTTAAATTCTCATAGTTATCCAGTGGAAGAGCTCAAGCAATCTTATTTCAGGCTTCTTGGTGCTAGCCATTGCCTTTCAATACGTTACAAATAATTCATTCTATCCATCATTACTGCACTATTCTCATATATTAAGGTTATGAGATTTAAGAAAGTCACCTTGGAATAATTTTTGGCAAAAGGTGTATATTTTATCCAACCACCAAAGATTTTCTGAAACCAATTTAGGGACTATATACTATGTAGGAGCTTATGATGGAGCTTGGACATGATGTCTAAGAACTTTTCCCAAGGAAAGCTCTGCTCCTTGGTGATGAACTGCTTTTCTCAGGCCTACTCCTGGCCCCTCTCTATAGCCCTGGCCCTGTGTGAGACTGGCAGCGACCCCAATCCTCAGGTCAGGCACTGAAGAGTAGAGCCACGTGCACTCCTGGAGGCATGGACAGTAGGAGAAGGATTTCAGGTCGGTTACCCAGGTCACAAAGCAGTGTCCCACATCCTCAGGCAGCTGCTCATACTTCTCCAGCTCTTTGAGGAAGATGCTGCAAGGGGAGAGAAAGGTTGAATCAGACACCTGTGTATAGCTGACCCCACTCAGAGGATCGTACCAAGGCCAGCACAGCCATAAACTCTCAATCATTTACATGTGGCTTCTCTACTCTCTAAGTGATATGTGGTGAGGTACAGTTTTTAATATGTCAGAACTAATTTCATTAAAATGTAAGTTACTTGATTAATTAGTGCTACTTAAAACAATATTCTTTTTCTCAGACATTCATACTTCTTGGGGTGAAAATAAATAATGAAATATTGTACTTGTGTTAGACCTTTTATTTTATCAGCACCTTTTTTAATATAAGTGACCTGAACACATCATAAATATTTTTCAAAATATAAACCTGTGATCCCAGAGATAAAGTAGGAAAAAATTTAATCCTACCCTAGTCTCTTCCTAATTCTTGATGGCCTTCTTCCACCAGTAGCTAGTTTATGCTAAAAACCACGAGTTCCACTGAATGTTTTATGATACAGACACCATTAGGAAAGGAAATTTAACAGGGGAAGAAGTCACAATATATATTCCAAAGCTGAATTGAGTTCCTAGTGAATTATCTGCCAGTGTGGATATCTGTGACATGGTTCCTTTCCATGTTAATATAGAAATAATTATACTAACTTCACATTAATGTATTAAATAATTGGTTTCAGTTTAGAGAATGTAAGTTCTAACAGGCCAGCATTATCAGAATGGAATTTGCTTTTTTAAAAAAATCACAAAACATTTTTCAAATATAAAATAGCTATGAGGCGGCTCTGGGACACATACTGATGGAAATGGAAAATGCTGTGTCTGTATAAAGAGCAATTTGATAGTGTCTATCAAAATCATAAATGTACTTATCATTTGACTCTGTAATTTTAATTCTGAAAATTTTCCTATAGTTCTATCCATATGTATAAAATGACATTTTTACATGAGTATTAATTATGATACCTTTTATAACAGCAAAAGATGATCTGTAGAGAAAAAAGTATTTAAACTATGGTACATCCACATAACTCAATACTAGGTAGCTATCATAAAATGGCAAAGCTTTCTATGTTTTTCATATGGAAGAACTCCAGGACAAGGTAAATGGAAAAAGCAAGTGCACAAGAATGTATATAATATGCTATCTTTGTCTAAGCAGGGAGTATATATTCTTATTTCTCCATCCAAGTACTAACCAGCCCCGACCCTACTTAGCTTCCAAGATCAGACAATATCAGGCACGTTCATGGTGGTATGGCTGTAGACTACATTCTTATTTCTGGCCCAAGAAACTAACAAAAGTCATTACCATGGGGAACCAGGTAAAAGAATAGGGTGAAAGACAGTGGTGGGTGAGACTTCTTGATGTTTACTTTTCCATTTAATTTTGATTTTAAAATCATATCAATGTATTACCTTCAAAAATTAAATTAAAAGATATAAAATGGTTCTGCATTATTCCACTACTTACCTCTACCATAGGAAAAAAATAAATTTTGATTTGACTTACTCTGTCTGTTATTATCCACATATTTTGGCAGTATCTTATAATTAATTATAAGTGGTTATGAATTTCATGTTAATGTTACATGTATTCTTTTTTCAATACACAGAAAGATGTTTTGAAGCTTTAAAATATGTATGTGTAACTAAAAAATATTTGGCAAGTCATTTGGAAAGCAAAAAATGCTAATAATGATTGGTGGAATCATAGATGACTTTTTCTTTGTCCATCTGGAATTTAAATTTTTTCTACAATAAATGGGCATTGCTTTAGTAATAAGAAAAATATAATTTAAAAAATTCTAGGAACTCCCAGCAGTACCCATTTGGCAATAATCATCTTTCCCCTTACATGTGTGAATTTTAGAGTCTCCTGACTGAATCATGGGGCAGGAGTAATTACAGTGCAATTTCAGTTTTAGAAATGCAACTATGCAGTGCTTAGAATCAATATGGTGTCATATTTATTGCTACTTTTCAAAGGACTACAGGTGACACATTTAATTTATTATGTATTTAATGCGACCTCTAAAATAGAAATTGGAAAATATACTATATGATGTTATAATTGAAGATCAAACTTAGTTCAAGGCCCAAAGAGAAACATACTCTTGTTGCAAAAAGAGGCAATCTGGTTCTTCATTACACACACACACACACACACACACACACACACACGAAAATACACATGTACACTTGCACATATAAATGTTTATATGTAAATATATTATTTTTTAATCTTTGGAACTGAATTCTAAAATATGTTTATCATATGGCCTTTTGTCCCAAGGAACACGACACAATATAATATACAATATTTTCAGAAGGTGCTATGCTGAGATGGTCTTTGCATGGTCATTTTTCCTTTTGGCCTTCAGTATAAATCTGTGAAGACACTGAATGGAAATCTAGCCCTGAGCCAGGGTGGGCTGAGTAGAGCCTGAGAAGGGGCTGGAATAGGTTAGCAAGTAGGGGAAGGAAATCTGATGAGCTCTTCTAGGATAAGGACTGATGAAAGAAAATGAAGTATTTGAAAGAAAGGTGGACCTACAAGGAAAAAAGAGCATGGAATGAGAGAAAGGGAAGAAAGGAGAGAATACAGAAGCCCTGGGAACTGAGGATAAATCCTCTCAGCTTGTAGGAAGCCTCCACATCCCCACTGCCAGGATTTCTTTATCCACAACTATTATTATCCTCACTCCAGTCCCCTAAACTCTGACCCCCCCGTGGTGTACTGGCCCTTTGCCTTTAAAGATAGTCAAAGAAATGCTAAAACAGCCATCCAGGACATTCCACACAGGATATAAAATTGTATCTTTGTTTCAGAAGTTGTGAGGATGTCCATGATGACTCAGGGAAAGTTTCCCTCTTTTCTTGACTTGTGACCCACAGTCAGTTGGCCCAGTCTCTTAAGGTTAATTTTAAACTGGTAATTATACCTACAGAATTGATCATTGATCCAGATAAAGACAGTGCTAGCAATTTTATTAAAAATCCTACTGATTTTTAAATAGAGCAATACCCTGACTTTCGTGATAGCTGCTACCAAAAACCTATGGGAAGATACTAAGTTTGAAAATTTTCAGGAAACGTAAACACTATAACCAGAATTAAACACATAGCTTATGATTCCTATGACTCATGCCTTCCTGTAAAATGAAGGTTTTAACAGCAGCCTAGCTCACCCTTACTAATCCCAGGTCTCACTGTCCTTTCTTCCCACAACCAGGCACAAATTAAAGAACCAGAGTTCACACTTGGTCACAGTTGTGAAGGGGTCTTCCAAAGTCTCATTTTCCTCATCTTTAAATTGCCACCTCATTGAGTTCTTGTGAGGATTTAATAAATCCACAGGTAAAAAGAATCCAGCCCAGTGCCTGGCACACAGTAGATACTAAAGAAAAGGAAGTTCTTTAGGATTAGTGCTTTTGATTTTTTTTTTTTTTTTTTTTGAGACAGAGTCTTTCTGGGGCAGAGTGCAGTGGCATCATTGTAGCTCACTATAACCTCAAACTCCTGGGCTCAAGTGATCCTCCTGCTTCAGCCTCCTGAGTAGTTGGGACTACAGGCATGTGCCACCATGACCGGCTAATTTTTCTATTTTCAGTAGAGACAGGGTCTTGCTCTTGCTCTTGCTCAGGCTGGTCTCAAACTCCTGAGCTCAAGTGATCATCCCACCTTGGCGTACCATAGTGCTAGGATTGTAGGTGTGAGCTACTGTGCCCAGCCCTCAATCTTAATAAGGTCATATTCTCTTTGATAAACACACATATCTCACACTCTTCCCCACTCCTGGAGACTTACATCCAGGGGACCCCTTCCCATCTGGCCCTTGTTGAAAAATCTATAGCAGGTTACCTTCCCCTTAAAGTCACATCCTGGGACAATCTTGATTGTTATACAAAAAATGGATTCCAAGGTTACCTATCATTCAAGTTTGGAAATGTTGGGCTTAGCTGGTTTCTTCACCGTAGGACTCCCCAAATCCTGTAATATGATGAGTTACATTATAAATCTCTGAAGTAGATAAAGTATGCAGTGTTTTTCAAACTTCTATGAGTATAATATTTTTAGGGGAGTATCAGACTTTGTCTCAAGGAACACTCTTGGAAAACCCTAGTTAGTGGTCCCCACACCTAACTGTGCATTGCCCTCTGGTGTTGAGATCTGAGCAACCTCATTGTTTAGAAAGCTGCCTGGGTAATTCCAATGTACCCAGTCTATAGATTGGTTTTTGAAGGCAACTGTCCTAGATTCCAATGTGCTTCCAGATGGCAAAGCCTACATCAAGCCTTTATGATTTAATTTAGGGGGGGAAATCTGAGAATTTGAAAAAAATAGTTTGTGCTGGGCATATCAATTCATAACATTGAGTAAGATATTCACTACCATTTCAATGTAATTGTTGAAGGTAAGTGGCAATATTAAACTCCATTTTGCTTTTTAATTTGAAGCTTATAAAGATGAAAGATTATATAAGTCTGATCAATATCATTCCTCTTACTTCAAGTCAATATGATGAGTTTAAATTAAAGCACAATATCTCACAACACTCTCCACAAATGATGGAACATTCTACCTCAGCTGCTTTACAGCAACAACTTGGCCCTCACCATTCCAATAATTACGTGTAATAAATGAAGAAGAATGAACAAAGCAAGTATTTTGAGTGTTTGTGGGACTGACTGGAGTTCTTTCAGAAATAAAACTTTTAAAGAAATGTAAAGATCTAAGCAATGATACTACTCTTAACTTTTTACAATGTATTATATTATACAGTTACTTTATGAGGAAAATGCTTCTGTTTGGCTTTGTACAGAATCCCAGGAGATGAAACCTTTAGCATTTATTGATAGAAAGCTTTCTGAATTTTGTCATTAACTATTATGGAAACAGCATCATTCCAAAGGTGCCCAAGTCATTTTGTTATTCTCTCTAAAGGTAAAGTTGGTTTATAGTCTCACTGCTTCTGGGGAAGTGTATTCTTCATCGAGGGCTCACAACCTT